ATATGCCTAACCATTTTGGTTTTTATATTTTCTCAAACTAACAACTCAAAATCAAGCAGCAGATTATTTGGTTATCTCCTATTTCGTTGGTAACAAAATTTAGAGGGTGACAGTGAACTCAGAATACGAAATAGTAAAAAAATTTACTGAATAATAAATATTAATACCAAAGTTAATTTTGTTACCTCGACAGAATAGATCTGTACGCCATCTTTGGCATCCAGCTTGAATGAAGAGGCGAAAACAAGAAGTATAATGGTCAGAGGTGTATTGAAATATACCTGTTCGACACAAGGTTTGCACAACTCTCATTAATACGGTCAAATACGTCGTTGCTCGTAATGAATTTCTCAAAATTCCTTTTTACAAGTTTTTAAGTCAATTTTCTATCCTACTTTCGACACCAATACAGTGACCATGATTGTTTAATTAAATTCCCAAGATTTGTTTTGTAGTTTTTTAGGTGCTAAGACCCTTATTAATAATTTATTCCCAATAAATCGAAATTCGTATTACTATAAACGATGACTTAGTTTCTAACTCTACTTTTACCTGCTAACACACAGTTTACAGCTTTATATTGTTACGATTTTACTAAATCAACCTCGATTATTTTCTAGATCCTTCGGGTACGATCTCTGGATTGTTAAATAAAAACTCGCCAACTTAATTTGCAGTTTCTTTCGTTATAAAGAATTAATCTAATGTCCTTTATTTTCTTAATAATTCACAATTCAGTTATAATGCACTTTACTATTTACAATCACTAGTATCAACTTTCACAATTTACTTTACTTAAATATAATCCCAACACGTTTACTTTACGACTTTACTGATGTTAACGCCAACGAGTTTACTTTATCACTAACTTGACTTGCAGCTGAGTGTCGCCATAAGGGCAAGCAGCCGCCTGCTCGCAGACGAAAGCGTAGAAGCATCGAATTGTTCGCTATGGAAGGTTCTTGTTTTATCGTTTCTAGAATGTACTAGTTATCGGCTTCTCTCTTTCATCTGACATTCGTCTCGCATTTTCGCAACAATATAAACACACTGTTTATGTACACAGTCTATTCTGCTTCACTTTACACTATTGTTGTCGTTACTGAGCTTCAAACACAACTGAATATGCCGGCAGTGCGCGCTTCACTGTTATATAGTTACACATTACACGCATATATCTTCCAGTAGATTCTGTTAGAATATTCGACAATGAACATTCGCTCTTTTTCTAGTACATGCTTTAATTATCGTCCTCTGCTTCTCAACAAACATTCTTGTTTTGCATTTTCACCAGAATATAATAACGCATAACGAATTTCCTAAATCAACCTCGATGATTTCCCAAATGCTTTGGGTTCGATAACTGGACTGTTAAGGCCAATATCTAGTTCTTAAAAAAGCGCTTAAGTTATGATTGAGCAAGATTTTGCTCTCTTATCCTTCGTTCGTTGATCCACTACTCCAAACACGATACTGCATCTGATGGCCCATTAGCCATTGCTCGGACGGCGGTCGAAACGCCTCTTCTTGTGCATGGGGTGTATGTTCGGAGTTAGCTGTACCTATAATAATATGATTTGAGGTTAGCGGTTCATTGGCAGCAATGTCCAAAGGTTTGCAAGTCAAATGCCGTGTATTAGCTAAATTCTCTGCCTCACACATCAAATTATACAGCGCGTGTTCGTTAAGATTCTCATTATACAGGGCATGGTCTATCGCCCTCTTAACACTGCGAACTAATTGTTCCCAGCAGCTTCCAGCATGAGAATTCATCGGACAAATCCACACGACCGCCATCAGCTGCCCTTACAAATCTCTGTCTGTTCCATCAAAATTGGTACCATTGTCGAGGTTTTTCGTGGGTAGATTACAGTACGCCTAGTACAAACCGGGACCGCAGTTGCTGCGTCTGTGCGATCTGATAGTCTACTTACGCCCTCTTCATCCATTATAGAACTTAACTTATTATCTCCTTGTAGGGATCTACACCACGATGTGCACCACGCGCGCAAACAAAAGCAAACTGACCACCGCTAAGATTTGTGATGCTTTAGTTTATCATAAATTCTTAACAACATCGGCCGACGTGTTTTGTTGATCTGCTTCAAAATTTAACCAATTCATTGAAAAGCAGCTTATTTGCACGAAAAGCATTCCAAAATATTAGAGTTTGATAAATAAAGTTGCTGGAAAAATTTATAAAATGCAGGGTTGCATTGTTATGAAGCGGTGTCGGAACGGCAAAATTACAAAGTATTTTGACTTTTTGGAACTCGCTCTACCTTAGCAGTAAGTTTATTTGTAGCTACTGAATATGTTATGTTTAAAACAAGTCGCTAACACAGCCGACTGTAACTCTATACGAGAGAGGGACACAAAATGAGCGCATTTGAGTTGATCAGCTATAAAATTACCTTCGCGTTGCTATTTTCGTCTCTAAACCTCCAAAAAAGCAACCGTCGCATAAGCGGACTCACTCGCGTTTCAAAACATGTGTGCTTTCGCTGAAGTTGCCATAAACTTTTAACCGTAAAAGCAAGGAATACTTATTTTCTCCAGCTCAGGTAACATTTTCCTTTCTAGTGCGTAGAACCTTTTCTCCGCCATCTCTCTATACCTAGGCAAATCAACGCTATCATTGCTCCACAACTATCACTTTCCGAACCGTTCGCCATCTAGTATTTTATGCCCATGTTTTCACTGACTGTTTAATCGTTGACTAGTTTCTCCAGATTTGATGCTTCGTCCATTTAGTTTACCAGTGCAAATAATGTACGATAACATGCTGTTTAGCTGGACGCTTTTCCTATCCATAAATCATCGATCCAAGTATTGTCAAAACTCCGGTCTCTGCCGTCATAACGTGTTCGTCGAGGGACTCCAAAGTGTGCGTTGTCTGAGCCTATCAGCAGCTCCGGCACGGCATCGCAATTTTCGCGTGTCGGCAAATGACGATCTTTGAAGTGAAGATTCGACGAACTTACTGACTGCAAGAATCAGACTAATACCTTTGCGCTGCTTCTATTATATAAGCAGAGCAAGGCATAATAAATGCAAGGGTCGTATTCCCTTCAATGTCCACTTAAAACGCTATGTCAGCAAACATATGGTTGCTGAGCGGAATCGTGGAAATGAATTGTGACAAAGTTTAGCATAAGCAGAACGTAGAAATCTTAACAAATATTATATAATCAATACTCAGAACTCATGTTGTCTGTATTGATATATATTTCGGCTAACGAATAGTAAGCCTATTGACTTTAAACCTTTACATTAGAGACCATACAAACGTTGCTCAAATATAACTATTTACTATTTTTTTCGATACCGCATATTTGTAAATTAATTCTGATCGAAGATTCTGTAAACATCGTGTTTCCAAACCATTCTAGCGTTAAACTATCTTTGTGCCCCTTCAGTTATTTTTTGGCTGCTAAATTGTAGTTTATAAGCGATATGACGGATCTTTCATCGAAGAATGCAAAGGTCTCAACTATTTTATTATTCGTGTATGACAATACAGGCAATATATTAAAAAAAGTTTCGATGGTACGCGTTGGCTCCCATTGCTATCATTGAAAAGTGCATGAAAACATTTGACACAATGCCTCCACATACGTGATGTTCACGACAAACATAATTCCTATGATTTCCTTGCAAACAATTGAAATATAGCCTTTTCCTTCCAACCAGACGCAATCTTTCACAATGATTCAATTCGGCAAACCATTTACAGCCCCAGAGTGTTTGCCTTTCTGCACTTGGTTCACATCTTATTCCCCAGTAGTTCTAGACGTTCGACTCGTTGTTGAATCTATTATTTTAGATAACTCTTGCAACCAGTCTTTAAAATGACCTTTAGTTGGTCGCGGAAGAATCCTTGACGAATGTTGCGCCCACTCGATGCGCTTTTGCATAGGTGGCTTCACCAACAAATCTTCCATCAACGTGGGGTTCGACAAGTGATATTCGCAATCAGCTTCTGAAAGAAGTGATGAAAGGTTATAACTTTAGTTGCAAACGTCTCTAAATGATCAATTAAATTTTCGGATATCGGAGCTACACTCCTATTTTTCTTTAATTCACCAGCAACTTTGGTCTGCCAGAACTTTCCTTTTAGATTTGAACTATGCACGGTACATTTATGCTATGTATAAGCATTCAACACTCTCTTAGCCTTGTCTTTCAATGCTTTTTGCAAACCCATTATGTTTTGACTATCACTGTATTGGTACTTACTTGTGGCAAGGAAGATTTCTTTAAACAAAGGCCAGTCCTCTGGGCAACCCTCGAATTCTGGCAAGTCGCGCTTCCCCTAAGGAGACTACGTCACTATAATAATATAAATATATAATTGGCGCTTTGTAGCTGCTGTAGTGATTTATCGGCAGAGGCTCATCCTCGAATTTGTGGTTTTGCGTCTTGATGTTTCCCAACAAATGGAGGGAACCACGCCACCTCCGAACGGCTGATGGTTTTATTACGAGGGATTAACGCAATAAGAAAATTTAATTTAAATCTTTTATTTAATTTTCCATAGCTTATGGATGTTGGTGGTACCGGGACGTGAACTCAAACCTTCCGAAAGTCAGCACGCAATGCTAATCACTCGGCTACTGTAACTGGATGCAGCTGTTATTATTCCATCGAATCCGCTAAGCCTGTTGTATTTACCGACAAGTGGGAACTAAAAATAAGAACGCGTTCAGTTGTTAATGTTCAAAAAGATGATCGTATTATTTATTTGATTGATTGATTGACTGTTTATTTGATCGACAATTTATTTTCTTTTTTTTACTGAAAAATTGAGAATACATTAAGTTACAAGGGTTTGAATTTAATAATTCTTTACAATAGCTAACATTTTGGTTTTACTCGCCTACGACATTTCTATAANGCAAATTAAGTTGGCGAGTTTTTTATTTAACAATCCAGAGATCGTACCCGAAGGATCTAGAAAATAATCGAGGTTGATTTAGTAAAATCGTAACAATATAATACACATTTTCCACGACAGCCCAATTACGAGTTTCGCTTTCTCAATCGTAATTCGCACTCTAAACACATGCCGTGAGCGAATTACAATAAAAGTGGGAAATTCGTTATTAATTGTAACAAACAAGCGAAACGGAAAACTGTTAAATTGCGTGGAATGGTGGAAGTTCGCATTTGTAATTGAAAGAGAGAAATACGTAATTGGGCTGCCGTGGACATGTATAACATTCATACAATTTTTTTATCGATAATAATAACCCAACGTGTGGACGTTAAAACTATTAGTTGGTCTACAAATTTGATAATTAGATATGTAAATATTGTATATACGCATAGGCGTATATGATTGCATGCACATGTACATATAAATTGTAGTAAAAACTCAGATTGGAATATTTAGTATTACGGGAGTTTAAACGCCGAAAGCGCGACCTTAATTTTTCTGCAGAGCAAAAACTCAAATTAGTAGGTGGGACTGAGCAGATAGCTTTCATAGTAAGATAAGCACATGCAAATAATAATTAATCACCTCTTTGTATACATTTTGCAGATATTTTGTACACTTTCCCTTACCATTTAAGTTTACTTTGTTATTATCCACCAGCTGGCTGCGAGGGGGTAGCTTATTTCAAGAAAAAAACGTTTCTACTACATTTTTTTTAAGTAACTACCATAGTATATACTAGACTATTATATATAACTAGATATAACCCGTAAACTTTCAAGCAGTCGAGCGGCACCGAATCTACCACACTAAATATGTTTTCGTTCATAATTATATCATAGTTTCCGCCTTTTTTGAGTCTAAAAAAACCGATATATATCTAAATTCAAAAAAAAAAAAATTACTATTAGTTTATTAGTGTTTTATTTCTCTAATATATCACATAGGTTTTTCCGATAACGCGCGACCGCTGCTGTTCCAAATGAGCGCCACCGCTTGAGGTTAAATAAAAGTCACAAAATTTTGTAAAGGAGTTTTCCACTTGGCTGTCCAGCTTTCCAAGGGTACACGCTGTTTTATGCTACAATAAGTTTATTATTATTATTAACGAGTAATTTTAAAATATATACATTCTTTAAATTTCTACTACAACTATTATTACTGCTTGCTTAGGCTGAGAAGGTGAAAACCCTGTGTGGAATATAATTAAGTGTTCGAGAGGTGTTAACCCTCAGGGACACTACGTTTGGAGGTAGTGTTGAACCCACAGCAAGTATACCTATCGCCTTTTATAAAAAAAAAAAGAATGTTATTTCATAATAATTCGCCCCTCGACAGAGAATGTCAATGACATGAAATAAAGCACATCATAAAAAGGAACCATCAGCCGTTCGAAGGTGGCTTAGTATAAACTGTAGGTCTCTCCATTTGTTGGAACACATCAAGAAACAAGACCAGCAATAGGAGGAGAAGTTCGGTCGAAAATCGATACAGTGGCCAATTACATATGTAACATAGATTTAGAAGCTCCTTTATATGCCCCACTATTAGCTTGTTTTCATTCTAAAATTTCTGGAATGCTCTTACAATGAAGAGAATTTTCGATACTTACGTTCCTCTTTTCATTTGTCATTCGTATTTGACATTTTCTCCACACTACCCTCCGCCTGGTCTCTTCAAATTTACCATTTTGGTACCAATTTGTTCCTACCTTCCCATTTGCACCTGTAATCTCGGAATCCACCTTTTCCTTCTTTTGAGCTTGCACATCATCACCAGATTTGCATTTTTCAGCTTCTTATTCTAGACACCAGACGTCTTCCTACTACTTCCGTTGGTATTTTCTTTCTGTTGCTCGTTCCTCTTCGGGAGCACTTTCTTGCTACTGCGCGAAACATCGAGACAGTGACATAGTGACACTCTCATATCGCCACATTCCATTGCTCTTCATTCCTTGATAAATGCGCAAGTCGATACCAACTATAGCTTTATCAGTGCTCTCTGTTGCTAAGAACCTATGAAGCACTGTCATATTCCTAAATTCTCCTTTAAAATGGTGTTACCACCAGTTCCAGTTCACGTTCCTAGTTTTACCCCTGGCAATGGAATTACTTCTTTGGTGATCAAGTAAGATCGAAGCACGGAGTGTGATGCTGCCGTATTCGTTGTAAGTATTCGCTCATATCCATCCACATATCCATGAACTACATAGTTGCTCGCTTTTGTTCCAGCCTAGGAGAAGGAGTCTACGGAGTGTTCAATTGCAAGAGTCAGCACACATCCCCTTCGGCTGGTTCGCTTTAGTTTAACGACTGCCCGCCTTCGTATTCGTGTGTGAAGTGACCAGACTTCCTACAAGTGTAGCACTTCCCAGCACTGGTGTTCTTACTGAGTTTCACGTGTTCGTTTCCCGCAATTGTTGACTTTGGATTTGCACATGTCTCCCTCTTGGTATATATATCCCTTACTCTGCTGATGAAGCGCTAGATTTTACTCTCTCACGGTGCTCACCAGACAAGTACCCAAAAGCCAGATGAGCCAGTCTCTCCATTTCCTTTTTCGTTCTTTAGCGCCATCTGGTGTATTGCTTCTTGTGCTCATTACCAAATCGTTTCTCTACAGCTCGCATTAATGCGTCATTGTTATCCATTTCACAATCAGGAATGTCTGCAAATATTCTGCTTCTGGAGCGTTCAGCGCAAGGAATAAAGCAATGGATTTTTAACCAATAAGACCTTAAGACCCGGAAAGGAATTTTCCTGTCAAAGGATGGTGTTTTTACCTTGTTGATAATGCTTTCTTTGTGGATTCTCTATTGACAGATTTTATCGTCAAATCTTGAACCTTGAACATTTATTAATTCTTATCCTTCGGGACTTGCTTAACAATCCCTTTTCCGAAGCCAATTGTAACGATATTGCTAATACGCCTCGATGATTTCCCAAATCCTTTAGTTCAATCACTGCATTGCATAAAGGTCACCAAATTTGTTGTTCAATTTATTAGTTATAAAGAATTCAGTCAACGTCTATTTGTTACTCAGTTAATTACTAATTGCTTTGCTATATACAACGATATGAATTTCAACTTTCACACCCATTATTTTCATATTGCTCCGATTTTGTCATCAACGAGTTTAATTCATAAGGTTGATTTGGCCGCTCTTTAATATACTCCACCATTTGATCATACTCATCCTAGTAGCTTCTGACATTCTCTTACGATATACGGAATATTTGATACTCGCAGTTTGGAATGAGCTTAATTTATCGGCATCTCCTTTTCACCGGTCAATCGTGTTTGGCATTTTCGCTACGCCATTTATACCGTATTTCCACGTTATCGTGAATTACATTATTCGTGCTCATATTTCTGTTACTATGGCTAACTTTTTTTGTACAATTTGAAACGCAAGGGTTATTAGAGTTTTTAGGAAGAGTTAATAAGCCATTCAATTAAATAAAGGTTATTATTATTATCGGCTCTACTTTCATCCATGTAAAACTGTTAAAAAAACTGTTTGAAATCAACAATCGACAAGCAAGCGACTCTCCTAGAAAAGCTGGTAGAGATCCACAATTTTGGCTTCCTCTGCACAATAGAAAAGGTCAAGACAAAATTTCACTATTTTTTTGATTAAGGAAGTGAATCAACATATTCAATCAAAAACTTACTTTCGTCTTCTGCATATAAATTAATTAATTTACTACTATCCCCATTGATATTAAAACTTTTATAATAATTTCTAATGACTTTACTTTCAATATACAAATACCGTTTGGTTTCAAATAGAAGTTTAACTCTAAAACAGTTTGGTTTGTCTGGATTTAACAGCTGATTGCAACGATTTGGTCGTAATCCGCATGGTAATTGAGAACGAATTACCCTCTTATACTTCTTTATATTGCCCCATTCAGTTTTTCTTTTTGCTGTTGGGCGCTTATTGGAAATACCAAGTACAAACAGGTCCTTCTCCTGTTTTTCCAACAGTGTGGTGGTCTTCTTCTGCTTCCACAAGCTCGTACTGCATCGAAAACTTTTAAAACTGGATTTTTCTTATCCATCTGGACCACATGACATAGTCAGCGCGGCCGCTCGTACAGTTCATCGTTCTATCGGCAATACTGTAGCCGTTCTCAGCTCGTAAAAGACCATATGTCTAACGCAAGACCTTTCTCTCGAAGTCTTTTACCGCCGACTCATCAGATGTGGTCATCTCATGCTTCCGCACCTTATAGAAGAACAGGAATGATAAGCGACTTATAGAGTCTGGTCATCGTTCGTCGAAAGAGGTCTTTATTTTTCAATTGCCGTCCCAGTCTAAAGAAGCACCTGTTGTCAAGAGTGATTCTGCGCCCGATTTACAGGCTGGCATTGTTGTTAGAGTTAATACTGGTTCTAAGATAGATGAAGTTATTTACGACTTCAAAGTTATGACTGTCAATAGTGACGGAGCCAAGTCGCGAATGCGATGACTGTTTGTTTCATGACAGGAGATATTTCGTTCCTCGTTCACCTCCGGGGAAAGCAGAACTTAGGATGCCATTGTTGAGACCAATAATGTCAATATCATAGGTGTACGACAACAGCTGAATGCCTTTGTAGAAGATTGTACCTTTTTTATTCAATTCTGCAGCTCTTATAATTTTCTCTAGAAGCAAGCAAGAAATCACCCGGTCTGAATATTCGTTGGTATTGAACGACTCGGAGATATCCTTTGCGATCCTGACGGAGCGTTTTGTGTTACTTAGCGTTAGTTTACATAGCGTTATTCGCTCGCAAAAACTTGTATGGTTAATAAAGAGGGTGCGAGCAAAGTAATCGGGGTGCCGTGAAAATGTCGTAATAATAAATAAATAAAAAAATTAAACCAAATTTTGATGTCTCCTGCATTTTTAAGTGTTAATTCAAGTATTCATCAATCATTCATTTTTCGTGCTCTTACTGTGCTGTATAACAAAACCCTGTTGAACCTTTTTCATTTTTAAAATTTTTGGACAGGCTAATTGAAGAAAAACTTATATTTTGTTAAATATTTAAATATTCTAATCCATTGAATTCGATCACTGTTCCACCTCCATATTTAACACAATATGTATCCTCGTATATACGTATGTACACACTTACATGTGCCTACAGTGGTTGTTGGTTAAAACCTACCAACAACCACGCACGTCAACAACGAGAAAGAACTACAGCACAAGCAGGAAGTGAGAAAAGTCAAAAGCTATTTACAAAGTGTTGTTGCGGGAGCGGCACTTTCCACACCGAAACTCTATGCGGTGGAATAATTCGAAAATAAATGCATACCCATATTTCAGACTTTTAAAACATAACTTAAGTTTAAGATTACAACTATTAGCGTTTTCATACATTTTTTCACATGAGTGGTAAAAGCTAATGCGGTATCAAATGTGGTATACCAAAACAACTAGAATTAGTGATTGAGTAATTGAGTGAGTCGTCTACTTTACACTTGTGTGTGCAAATACATATAAGTTTATTAGAATCTGCAAAACATACATAGATACATAAATGAAATGAACTCGACATACCGCCACCCTGGAAACTTCTCCACTGTGTAATCTCCCTTCGTTGGTAGCCACTCAATACTGGAGGTAGTAAGAAAAGACTGAAGTGGGTCATCTGCCATGAATTGTTGAATGTTGGAACGTAGTATCTTCTCAGCGCCTACAAAATTTGAGCTATTGTCGGAGTCCATGAATCTTTTGAATGCGCTTAGGAATGCTGCTGCAGAGTGCATAGTGCGAAGTAACAGATCTAGCCCTTTGTAGCTTTGGCCCCTCTGCCGTGGGTGAATTCATACATATATGGTCCAGCAAAATCAACGGCGCTGTGCATGATGCATCGAGCTTAGGTCGTTCTAATAGCGGGCAAATCTCCCTACGATTGTGTTGCGAGATTTTGATTAAGACAAATGCGTTTCACGTATTTGCGGTAGACGTTGCGAATCAGGTTGCCAGCACCAAAGACCCAATTATGCCGTTGTAATACCACTTGCTTTATTCACGTTTGAACGTGTTTCTCCATGTGAAAGCAAAGTGAATACGCATAAGGCGGTATTCATAGAAGTTATATAATAACACATTAGATGTGCATTTGATCTAAAAAACCTTCTATTAT